TTTACCGCCTTTCTCCAAGAGGCGTATAACTGATTTGCTTCGGATTGCAGCCATGTTTGAATTTGGTTGGCAATGTTTTGGATATAGATAGGATTTAAGGAGGGGAGCAACTACTCGCCCTTCCTTACTAATTGTAATTAGTTGTAAATATTGTTTGTATTGATCCGTTTCATACGGAGTTTCCTCATCGGCATCTCCCAGGATATTGATTTGATCCTGTTTGAGAAAGTCGATGGTTAGGTTGGTGAGTTCCTCATCTTGATACTTAGTGGGTTGTCCAAAGACCACATGAGAAGATGGTCTTCCTGTTAAAGGTTGATGAGGACTGTCCCAATGTCCCCTTGCAACCAATCCAAATTCTGATGGCACAACACTAAATGTGGAGTGGGACCAGTATGGATCTTGGTTGTGTTGATATACTGATACCAGGTCTTTTCCCCCCAGCACAATGTCAAAAGTTATTAGTGTGCTTGTAAGGAGGCGTGGATCAGCTAATGAATGTTTGAAATCTTTGAGTTGGGAAAGGGTATGAGGGTTGGTAGCCCCCCAGGATTCCTTTAATGGTACAACAACTGCTGTTGTCTCCATGTTAAATGTGGTCTTATTTCGATTTTGAAGATGCAGCGTTGCCAATGTTGTGGATTGTAACCGAGCATTTCCAATGCCCGCAATTGTATGAGCTGTGGATGTTTGAATAGTGGGTAACTGAAGGCGGTCCACAAGAGCCTGTGTCACCAGGGTCAGTTGCGAGCCTGTATCAAGTAATACATGGACCTCGGTGTTTTTTGGTTGTAATTTAACAGTTGCTGTTTCCAGAAGAGAGTATGCAACCAAACTGGTTATTGCATTTACCCTCACTAGTCACGCCGAGTTTGCGATGACTGCTGGTGCTGCGACTGCCGGTGCCGGCAGCGCCAATACCGGTGGCGGTAGTGGTAGACGATCTGATATGGCCTGTAAGATTGCTGCAAAGTTTCTAGGGTTCTTGTTAGGCGATCGATTGAGTTGTTGAGCGCCATTGTTGCAAGAGCTACCGGAGTTGCGGTTGCGACCATTCTGGTTGCTGTTGTTCTGTGAATTGTTGTTGTTTCCGCCATTGTTTTGTCCATTGTTGTTTTGGTTTCGGTTGTTCCCAAAATTGTTTGCATTTCTGTTGTTATTAAACTGGGATGAGCTCCGAAATGACTCGTTGTTCCGAAAACGAGCACCCTGGTATCCTGTATTGCTCTGAGATCCATTGTTGTTCTGAGATCAATTGCTTCCCTGATATCCAGTGTTGTTCTGGTTATCATTATTTTGTGAGGTATTGCTTTGCTGTTTGTAACATAGGGAGGAGTGATGTGGTTTGTTGCAAGTTTGACATCTTCGAGTACTGCCACATGTAGGAATAGTATGATTGGATGCGAGGCAATTGTAACACAATTGTTTCTTCCGGACTACTTGAATTTGGTCCGGGACACTCAATTTGCAATGGAAGGCGTTGTGTCCTTGTTGGCAGAATGGACATTTCCATTTGCGTTCGGAATTATTGCTTGTACCTGAGCCTTTATAGCTTGAGATTTTTTGAGATCGTTTTGGGGACTGATCTTCCCTGTCAGATTTTTCTGGTGTTGATGAGCGGCTTCGGTCTTTTTTGGATTTCTTGTCCCGTTTTGAGTGACGATCCGATTTTTTGGAGTCTTTACGACTCAATCTGCGAGGGCTTTTGGATGCCTCCCGTTTTCTTTTTCTGGAACTGGAATCTTTTTCGATGTCCTCTGTGTCGGATTTCTTGTCCGGCTCTTTTTCTTTAATCTGTTTGGAAATTGTTCCACTGAGGAATGTAAGTGCCGTAGGCGAAACTTCATCCTCTGGTGCTTTGGATCGTATAAACTTGCAAATCCATCAATATCGGTTTGCTGGGGTGCTTTCCCAGGTTGCAGATTCTGATGCGCGATGAGGTGGGTTTAATTCCAGCTCATGCAAAACGCTATTTAGAAGTCCGCTTTTCCGCAGGTGTAGTTTGATTGTAGGCCACAGTCAAATGTGTACTTGTGGCATATTTGATCGTAGATTGTGAAGTTGGGTGGTGACATCTACCACCTTTTCCATGTACTTTGCCATATCATCGGCTGATGTCCCGTCTGGTTTTAATTTTTCGAACATTTTATAGATACACTGACGTGTTGCTTGTATGTTTCCATATTCTTCAATAAGAATCTTCAAAATCCGGCAGTAGTCGGATTCTTCGGTTTTGTCCAGTTGCCTGTCAACAAGATTGTTGGCCTTGCCATCCAAATAAAGTAGTAGCAAGCCGATTCTTTGTGACGGCGTGATGAATTTGGATGGAATGATATGGATTTTGTAAAAATTCGACCAAAAACGGTCAAAGGTGTATTCCTCCTCAGGATTTCCGCTGAAGCGTTTGAAAGAGGGGAGCACCGTTTTCTTTTCCAGGTCACGTACAAATGATGAACTTGGTTGTGGCATGCTTGTTGCTGATGCATATGTGTGCAACGCAGCCAAGTATGGATCCGTTTCATCGTCGATTTCCAACAGTCTATGGGACTGTGTTTGAAATTTCTGATACGGGACAAGTTCCCGTTGTGTACTGGTTGAATATTGGGATGGTGCATCCTTTTCCTCAGGTGTAAATACACTGGGGACAATTTCCACACTCGGTGGCCCCAAGAACTGGACGCCAAGTATGCACGCCTGTTTAGGGCGTAATTCTAGCCAATTTGTCTGTAACTGTTCCGGTGTTCGAAGAATGATGGCATTTAATTCATCGCACAATTGCAAGATTTGCGTTTGCTCCGCATCCTCAAAATGATGTTGTTTCAAGGAAATAAAATAAATGGATGCCGTCATAAATACCTGATGTTTCTGAACAAACGTTTGGAACATATCTGCACTGAGGTGCTGTTTGAAGGCCTCGTCACACAAGTATATTGCGTGTGCGAGGGTCACGACCTGTTGAATTGTAGGATTTGGGTCGAAATGGGTTAACGTACTTGTTGTAGAGTTGCCCGTCACTGAAGGTGGTGGTGACGGGTTGGGGAGCAGTACGACAGGTTGCCGCGGCAGTATATTGCGTGTGCGAGGGTCACGACCTGTTGAATTGTAGGATTTGGGTCAAAATGGGTTAACGTACTTGTTGTAGAGTTGCCCGTCACTGAAGGTGGTGGTGACGGGTTAGGGAGCGATACGACTGGTTGCCGCAGCGGTCTGCCGGGTCGTCGAACGCTCCGTGGTGCTGTTTCTAAGTTTGTGTCTGGCACATTTGCCGTATGCTCGGGGGGTGGTAAGACATCACCCCCTTGCAAGGTTGTTGATGGGATTGCACCAATTATTTCACTGTGTAAAGCACTAGGGGGATCACCGTAGCGGGTTGGAGGCTTACTCTTCCGCGTACGAGTGAAAGAAGCACTGGCGGGTACAGCTGATTTACCGCGAGGCATCGTAGTGTTCTTAGGTGCACTTCACACTTTTTTTTTTTTTTGAAAATGTTTCACGTCACACAAGTATATTGCGTGTGCGAGGGTCACGACCTGTTGAATTGTAGGATTTGGGTCAAAATGGGTTAACGTACTTGTTGTAGAGTTGCCCGTCACTGAAGGTGGTGGTGACGGGTTAGGGAGTGGTACGACAGGTTGCCGCGGCGGTCTACCGGGTCGTCGAACGCTCCGTGGTGCTGTTTCTAAATTTGTGTCTGGCACATTTGCCGTATGCTCGGGGGGTGGTACGACATCACCCCCTTGCATGGTTGTTGATGGGATTGCACCAATTATTTCACTGTGTAAAGCACTAGGGGGATCACCGTAGCGGGTTGGAGGCTTACTCGTCCGCGTACGAGTGAAAGAAGCACTGGCGGGTACAGCTGATTTACCGCGAGGCATCGTAATGTTTTTAGGTGCACTTCACACTTTTTGAATGGTTGTTTTGAAAAATGTTTCAAATTGAGGATTGTTTAGATGTTTTCACCAAGGATTGTTTGTCAAGATTTTTCCAAGACTTTTGCACAGTCCTGTACTCTGATCTTTTTGTTTGTATCTATTTTTTACTGGCCACCACTTTTGTCAGGGGCTTTTGAGCCTCTCAGACAAAGATTCGATTTTCACTTATGGTCAGTGAAAGAAAAGTATAACACAATCAGCCGTTTGCGGCCTGAGGTCAATACCTCAACTTTCAAGTTTGAATATATAGAAATTCATGTTTCATAACTGTTTTTATATAATCATCTTCTGGAAGAAGATGGATTTATTTTTCTGGAATATTGAGATGACGTGGCGTTTCGTACGCTGCGTCGATCTTTTCTCCTTCTGTTTGTACTCCTGACTCGGGCGACATCTAGTCGTCCCGAGAAAAGCGGCGTGTCAGCGGGCAACATCTGTTCGACCCGTGACAGATTCTGAATCAAAACTCACATTTCAAAGAAGCGACCAAAATGTTACTTAGAATAAAAACATGGATTTCCGCAATAAGAACTTTTAAGGAATTATTTTCCCAGGGCATAGAAACTTTTTTTCGTGGTGTCAAAAAAAAAAAAGGTTTTGAGGAATGTTGTTGAGAAACTTCCGCATTTCGTTCCAATACGACCCGAAAACAAACTCGATTTTTCTAGAATTTAATCGCGAATTTCTTTTTTTTTAAGTACTGTAAAACTAATGGAACGTGAGACTCGCGTTAAAAATAAAAAAGAATTGCTCTATAGGTCTCTGAAAGTTCATTTCAACGAGATTTCTCTAGTCTTCAAGTTTACCTTGGCTTGTTCAGTGTAATGCTTCTCCAACAGGACACTGAGTAACTTCAATCGGTCATCGGAAGCAGGCAAACCCACGTAGACCCGTTTTGCAAAGCGTCTCAACGCAGCTTCATCCAGCTGCTCTGGTAAATTCGTGGCACCCATCAAAATCACTCTTGAACCCTTTTGTGTGGCCACACCGTCGGATTGGACAAGGAACTCCGCAACCAGTCGCTTCATGGCATCGTTTTGAGAATCTTGTCGCTTTCCCAGCAATGAATCCACCTTCGAACATAAATTAAAAATAGAAAAAACGTTAAAAAAAAAAAAAAAACTAATGGAACGTGAGGCTCGCGCTGAAAATAAAAAATAATTGCTCTAAAGAAATACGAAAAAGAGACAAAAAATGAGCTTTTATTGATAGTAAAATTATTAATACAAGAGTTCTTTTCCCCAGCAATCAATCCACCTTGAAACATAAATTATAAAATGGTAAAATTTTAATAAACTATTTCAAAAACACAATTCAGGAGACAGTATTTAAAATTTTTTGAAGTACACCAGAATTTCCTAGAAATAGTTTTAAACATTACAAAATTAATATTTAATTAATACTGTATCAACTTAATTTAATAATAAATATTGTTTGAATATTACATAGGCAAAAATTCCCTGTAGGAAGAATTTCGTTGTAGAGAAAAACTATATCACGGGGAGGAAACCTCATGAGACCAAACAAATATTTGTAATACAGTACAGAGAAAGTCGTTTTCGACAAGATTGTTGTAGAGAGAGTCCACGTTTATAACATACAAAAAATACACCGAGGTCCTCATCCTTGTCACGTTACTTTCCGTTCTTCTTTAATTTTTTTTATTTTCCTTCCCGAGAGATAATCAATTATTACTCACCTCGTCAATAAAAATAACCGATGGCTGGACGTGATTAGCCACAGCAAACAAAGCTCTGACCAACTTCTCCCCTTCCCCAAACCACTTGGAAGTCAACGCCGACGCAGAAATATTGAAAAACTTGGCCTTTCCTTCAGCAGCCACGGCTTTGGCCAGCAAAGTTTTCCCATTGCCGGGTGGCCCAAACAAGAGTAAACTCTTGGCGGGTTCCCGCAACCCGACAAACAATTCCGGGTTCAAAGCGGGTAAAATAACCATTTCCCGCAGGGCCTCTTTCGCATTCTGCTGCCCAATGACGTCGTCCCAGGAAACGGAGGGTTTCGAGTCCAGGATCTCGTCGGAGATGGCGGATAAGTATTTTGATTCGATGCCTTTGATTGATAACACAGAAGCTTCGCTCTTGGTTCGTTGTTGCTGTTGTCGAGATGAAGGGTTTGTGGTTCGGATTTGTTGGGGAGCTGATTGGATCCGTGCTCTGGCAGCTGTGTTCAATTTCGGGCCCACGGGACGATTTGATATCAATCTGAAAAATTGAAAAATGTGCTAAATTAAACGAAATTCCACTTGATCCTCTTCAACGAAATTTGTAAAAGGAAATAAATTAAAAATAGCAATAAAGTAAAAAACACACAAAGAAATACCATTGACAGACAAAAATTGAGTTTCTACAGACAGCAAATTATTAATGCAACAGAAAAAACATCAGAATTCCTCTTTCCCAGCAATGAATCACAGTCAAACCTCTCCCAAGTCCAATTTCAAGGCACCAGCAAAAAATAAGATAAAACTTGGGTAAGAGAGGTGATTTTTTTGTGTGGGAAACATGGAAGAATTGCAGAAAATTGTAAATGGTGACTTTCTGGACCTCAAATTGCTTCTTAAATGAGTTGACAGGATGCTGAACTTGGAGGCAATAAGATAAAATTTTGGTAAGAGAGGTGATTATTTTTTTGGGAAACATGGAAGAATTGCAGAAAATTGTTAATGGACATTCTGGACCTCAAATTGCTTCTTAAATGAGTTGATAGGATGCTGAACTTGGAGGCAAGGATTCATTTGTCAAATTAGTCTTTCACTCCCTTTCAAGTTAAACATCAAGTTAGATTTATATTGCTTTTCTTGTTCCTGTTTCAAGAAAATAATAGCCCAAAAGGACTCAGAAAAGTTTGAGAGACAAAGCCTTTGAGCGAGGTTTTTAATGCATTGTTTCTAAGGGAATACAGACAGGGACCTGAAAAAATTTGACTTACGGAGGCTTGAGTTATAGTGGTTCAGTTGTAAATTTGTAATTTAAAGAACAATGGCAAAATTTTCGCAACTGTTCACATTCTCTAAATTAAGTTCACCAAAAAGGATGATTATATCATGTTCACCAGCACTGAGCTGTTTCAAAAAAAACAAAATAAAAACAAAAGTGTTTTTTGTTACATAAAAACAATGTCCAGGTCGAGTCTTACAATGAATTTCAGATTTTCCTCAACACCTTCTCAATAATTCGAGCGGCACATTGTCCTTCATACAGTCAAATCTCGGTACAACGAAGCAGTTCGGATCAGTAAAAATAGCTTCGTCGTAAAGAAAAATTCGAAGTATCGAGGTTCAACTGTAAAATCCTTGCCTGTTGGGTGCTACAGGTTGCACGGGCCTCTGCACATAACCCCGTGGCTTCCCCTGCTCTTCTTGCCTGCTTCCCAAACTAATCAAATCCCCCAACTTGACGATCCTGTCCTCCACGTCCATCTTGTTCTTCCGCATCTTGTCCTGCAGAGTCCTGGCCCTGTCATACCCGGGCCCCTTGCCGTAACTCAAATCAATGCTCAAACACTTTTCAATGTCGTCTAGACCGATTTTGTAGAGTCGCAGGGCCTCTGGGAAGTTGTGCTTGGTCGTGTCCACGTCCAGGGCGGCGCTGATGGAGTTGAAGGCCTTCTTGTGCAGTTCTTGAACGCGGACGACGCTGGGGTCCGAGGGGCCAGCGAGCATCTTGGCAAATTTGAAGAAATAGCGGAAGATCCAGATCACGAGGAGAATGGCGAAGTTACGGCGAAGGGACCAGCACTGCCTCACTGTCATGGAATCTTAGCAAATCAATTCATGATTTTCTTTCATTTCTTGCACTAATTTTTTTTCTTTTTGAGAACCCTGCGGGAAAAAACACATGACACTGAAATACCACGAGAAAAAAACGTAAAAGTCAGGAACACACGGGAAATCTCTTTCTAAGGGACTTGAAAGCAAGGGGAATGTATAAGTGGACCAGAAAACCTCGAATACTGTACATTCGAGAAAATGTAATATTAGTGAAACCAAAAATCAATTTTCTTTCGATGATTTGGACTCTTTCGTTGCATATGCGTGTGTCGTTCTAAATTTGCTGACATTTCAACAGAGATTAGGTTATGAAATATCGCGGAGAAATATTATTCCAACTGAAAATTTTCAGGAAATATGACAGCCAACTTTTTCGGCTCCAAAATTTTTGCTTTACAAGCTTCAAGAAGATATTTACTCATGTACTGTACAATATTAGTATATTAAATATGATGCCAATTTCAGAGCATGCCATAGTAAGTTTCCAGATTGAACTCAAACAAAGGGAGCCAAAGAAGAAAGATTATCGGAGCCGTGGAAGACCTGCAAATATATATTTACATATTTACAGATACATAGAAATGTATATTTTGTATGATCATAATATTGCTCAAAATATATTCAAGATTTCCTGGTCCATTCGGTATGCATCAATAACGGTCAAGCAGATGCCAAGCGCACAGATGAAAGTTGTAAAACTTCAATTTTTCATAAAGTTGCTCACACGTGGGCATTAAGTTATATTCTGGGCCTATAACTGCTGGGTTTTTGACTTGAGAGAGGCTTGAGTTAGCCAAGTTGAACTGAAGTAACGATGAATTCCATTAATAGGGGTTAAAGCTACACATTATACAATATTTTTAACCATTGCGCTGGTCATCTGCAACAACCAAAATGTTAGCCCTAAACTGATCCAAACCAAATTTTCAACTAACATACTACATGACAGAGAAATGTAAAAGTCATACGCAGGCATAATTGATGGGGCTTCAACAGTATAGCTACCTTTGTTTCTTGATTCGAATCTACACGAGGGAACATCAACTAAACTCTCTAATGGAACAAAACTACAGGAAAACAATTGCCAAATATTTTGTCTTACGAATCTCTCCGTACGAAGCAGCAGGGATGAGAAAACGAACTTCACCAGAGTCTAACTTCAGCTGTTGAAGGTATTTTCCACGACTTGGCTGCTCAGTTTCTATTCCTATTTAAAAGGAAATTATTTCAACCAAGAACCCACAAAATCCACCGCCTTGACTGATAGACATAAAGCACAAAGAGACGTTTCATCCCAGCTGCCGCAAAGAGAAGCCCGCAAGACAACAGAAAAACCAAAACTTCAAAAGGTAACTTTCCTCTTGGAGGGGTAATACAAATGTAATCCTTCAATTACATTTACTGAACAACTCCTCACATGAGCAGGACTGACTCGTAGCATTCAAGGCTTAGCCAGCCACACAAAAAAAAACAAATTGCAGGCCCGCGAATAAAACTAATCCACATAAAACGCAACACCGTCCACTAGTTTCTATGAGTGAGGTAACTTCTCACACTCCACTGGTTCCACCGATCACCGTTTTACCGAAAGTACAATTCAGCATCGACGAAAATGCTCTTTTCCCTCGTTTCTGACATCAAGCCAGAACTACAGGGTGTCCAGAAAATTTCAGAATTCCCCGTGCACGCGAGAAATTAAAATGTGGTTGTGTGAAACGGAAGTACCGTGTTCAGTTGACCACCAGTGACATCTACCGAAGTGAAAAATGTGTCCTAGCAACAGAAGAAGTTGGGAACTGGTTTTTCTGGACTTAAAATCCTTCTTGCTTGAGTAACCTGGATTCACGACTGATGAAACTGAAGGACCACTCTGTTCAGAAAAAATACGCATTTGTACTGCCAGTGACATCTACCCAGGTCAGAAAAATGTGTCACTACCAAGGACAAGGCACAAAAATGTATTCCTTATTTAAAATTTATTCTGTACAACAACTTTGCGGATACCTACTTAATCAAGAAAGGTTCACAGAAAAATTTTTGATTAACTCAATTTATACAAAAAGGATGCACTTCTCTCTTCCTTTTCACATCTGATCAAGCTGAAAAAAAATTCTGAACGTATTCGAATTCTTACCGCGAGTTAACTGTCAGCGCACCCTTGAAACTTCAACAGGAAGGATTTACATCAGTGGGTACAGAAATGATCGTGAGGAATCAAAACGTCATTGGGACCTCAAGTGGCATTTACCCACACTAAAAAAAAAAAAACCTCGTTCGGACATAAGACGAATTCGGAAACTTTCCAAACACCCCAAAAAAATTTAAGGTCACTTCTCGCACTGCTGGTCGTATTATTAAGGCGAAAACAAATTTAATTCGAGACGGCTCGAACCAAGAAAAATGCTGAGAAGTCCCTCTGACTCAATTGGCAAGCAACATCCCCGATAAAGTGATCCAGTCAAAGCCGCGCGCTTTTTGCCTTCAACGCGAAACAGCAAAACACAGGGCGCGTGATTCAAGATTTATCCCTTCACTTGTCCCTCGGACCTTTCACTGGCAGTTAGAAACGCAACCGGGAAACAAAAAGAGGGGGAAGATGAGAACTAAAAAACACGCTCTAGAAGAGACTCGATCGCAACATTCGAATTGCTTTTTTCCCCCACAACAAGCCTGTGTGTGTTTAGAAGGAGAGTCTACATTCCCAGCAACATGGTGCGACTGTCCTCCACGCTGCTCTTGATCTTCCTGAGGAAAGTCACCGCCTCCCTGCCGTCAATCAAGCGATGATCGTACGTCAACGCGACATACATCATTGGCCGAATCACCACCTTAAATTTTGTCAAATTAAAAAAAATAATTAAAAAATCCGTTTCCGGAAAAATAGCCGAATATAAATAATGTAGCACAAAAAAGGATGATGCAGTTCCCTGTTCGAACAAAAATAATCCTACTAGAGACAAGAACGCTTCATCGAAGGTCAACATATTCGCCAAAATTCAGGCCAAGTTTAAAATCACATTCCATTCGTAACACCTAATAAAATTATAGCATAATCACCATATTTCGAGTTATTTTCCGTCAACAGCCAGAGAAAAGAAACCGAACCAAAAAATAAATCCAATCTCTAAAACAGTGCGAGTCGTTTTTTACATTCTAAAAAGATGCTGACGACGATAAACTCACGTTGCGGGATTTCGAACAGTTGGAAAAGTACAATATTTCAAAATTTTTCGATGCCACAAAAGATTGATTCTTGAAAGAGAACAAATTTAAGAATAAATCAGCCAGCAAATGTATAAAATCGCAGGCATCGCTGAATCCCAACAGCTTATTGCGAATTTAGTACAGTATTTCATGTCAGTCCCCAGTTCTTCGTTTATTCAGTTGATGTGTCAGTTGGTACAGTACTTAAATACCAATACATGCTACTTCGCACACTTTTGGTTTCAATACTTATTATTCAATATTTTTTATAATTGCCCTTTTGGTACAACTCTTTCTTGGTTTGCATGAAAAAAAGAGAAACTACAACCTGCGTTATTCACGGGAAGTACCCATTATCAAACTTACAAGGCCAACATAAAAAAATCCCCTCTCGAAACCAGACATAAATAATAACAGAGCTGCAAAAAAAGGACGCAACTCACTTGTCCCTTCACAGCGACAGGCCGGTCAAAAATTCCGTGCATCCCGAGAATTGCAGATTGCGGCGGATTGATGATCGGCGTACCAAAAAGCGAGCCGAAAACGCCGCCGTTGGACACCGTAAACGTGCCGCCATCCATGTCTTCTACAGCTAAAGCATTGTCACGCGCCTTGGCGCCCAACTCCGCAATCCCTCGCTCAATGTCGGCGTAGTTCATCGACTCCACATTGCGCAATACGGGTACGACCAAACCCTAGAGAAAGAGAAAAATGAAATCATACCACGGTTAATAGACGCATTGTACACTTTCCACACAATGGACTCGGGACTGTCGCCGATTTTCGTTTCGGATGACAGCCTGGATAAGAAGTGCTGGCACTTCGAAATACTGCATCATAAATTACGGGATTTTCACAGGGAAATATTCTTTCGATAATCTTTATTTCGTCGAAGAAATGCTTCTCAGCGTTTCCATTTCAGATACGAAATCAAACTGAAAATCCAATCATTCAGTAATTTTTCGAAGAATTCAACAGCGAGATTTCCCAAGAATTTGGAACGAATTAGCAGTGACAGTCGTGTGGGTCCCCGCATAAGGAAACTAATCCGCTCCTGGATGAATTTAGTTACGCCTATTCGTTTAGTAAAACGTGTGTATCCTCAGGAGTACGTTGCACAGTACTTTACTAGATTTATTTGGTTCCACCCGCTCATAAAAATACCTTAATTTACCACTAAATGTTCGTAATTTTCGGCAGAAAATTGTTAATTTTATACTGTTTAACATGAGACCAAAATAATCTCAACAACTCTCGCTAATAATTTTTCAATATCTCTAATGATCAAAACAAGAAGACACAAAACTATGGTTTTATTTTCTCCATTTTCTGAATTGTTTGAAAATCCTCAATTTTCTGTTCGAAATTTGTTAAATTAGCATTTCTTTGAATCCACAAACAATTTGTGGTGGGAAATGATTCGAGCCCTGGGTTTCCCGCTAGAAATTTTCGTCTTGTGGATTTTTCTTTGTTCTCAGGTCAGGGGGTTTTCCGACGTCTAAAAGCGATTACCAATTCGATATAGCTTCCAATTCATCTCTCATTAAGATTTCCATTACTGATTCACTTCATTTCAAGAAGAGAAAAAAAATCACTCGGTAGCTTGAGGGCCGAAACGTACCTTTGGTGTAGCAACAGCGACCGAGATGTCAACGTAGTCCCTGTAAATGATCTCGTTGCCTTCGATGACAGCGTTCACCTCGGGAATTTGTTGCAGAGCGTACGCGGCGGATTTGAGGAACACGGACATGAATCCGAATTTCATCCCATGCTTCTTCTGGAATGCTTCCTGGTGCGTCTTTCGCATTTCCATAATGTTGCTGGGAACGGAAGAAGATTAAAATTACATCAGACAAAAGTGAGAAATTTCTTCGAACGTGGACTTTAATCGAGCATCCGCAAAAATCTACGAAATTCGTGCACAGCGGCGTATATCAATGCAACTGTATTTCCACAACGATTCGGAAAAAATGGAAGAATTGTGAACAAGAAATTACCGATAGCAGTTACTGCAGTGAAATATTGTTCTAGTTCGAGCACATCCAAGCAAGAAAACTTTTGAAGAAATCATTCAGAGCATGAAACGCTGTTAGTATTGCACTGAGCATAATTGAACTGTATCCGGATGAAGAAATTAAAGAAATGAAACCTGCGTGATTGAATACTGTACTGGATAATTTTATCATGGTAGGAAACAGGCATAATTTACATAAAATCAATGATTATTTTATTTTGTTGAATAAACTGGATTATTTTGAACCTCGCTTCCTGCTCCCGAAAAAATACTTCCTTCTAAAGCTTCGGAATAAATTCCTACGCCGAATGACAAGCATTCCTTCTCCCTATATTCAGACGATGATCCAGCACAATTACTCTAAAATTATAGAGGAGTAACGATTTTTTAAAACTTTTTCGTTCACTGCTTCAGCTATTTTGGGTTCTTCGTCATCACAGGCTATTAAAACGATGAGATTAAGTGAACATATATTCGATGAATCGGCGGTAAAGAGAAAAGAAGAATTTTGTATGATTTTTTTTCTCGTGACACTTTTAAAATATTGTTATATTTTATTGGCTTTTAAAATAGTTTCTACGGGAATTCAGACAGGAATTGAAAAACAACTCGACGTGAGGAGGTATTCAAATACCTCCTCACGTATTCAAATACCTCCTTATGTGGGGAGATTCGAGTCATCAAGACTCGACTGTGTAACCCTGAATTTTCTGCACAAAATCTGCTACTGGCCGTAGTTATGGTACAATACCTCATATCGATTTCGTTGAAAGAGGTCAACATGGCGGCGGAATTTTGCGCTTCCTTCAGACGCACGGCAATGCGTTGCCGCATTCGGCTCATCTTGACGCGCTGTTCACTCCTAGTTCCGCTGATGATTTTCGTCGGATCGCTGGGAGGCAGTTTGATGGTAGCACCTTCTAGGATCGCCTTCGCCTTCACCTGGTCGGGCTTCACGGACGCCACGGGTTTCGAGGGCAACGGAGGCGGCTTCGGGGCGACTTTCGGGATTGGACCTGAACCCTCTTGGGGTTTAGCAGGTGCGGGTTTTCCTTCGGGTGCCGGCTGAGGCGGCTTGAGGAAGTCGGGCGAACGCAGAGGCGCAGCATCGGGTTCCGGTTGGGCGTCTTTCTTCGGAGGTGGTGGCGTCGCTGCTGCAGCGGCGGCTTCAGGTTTAGGCGGTGGAGCTTCGCCTGTCATTCATAGGCCACAGAGAGAAAATCTCATCAAGTTCATCTCATTTAGGAATAGGAACATAACCAACTATACTCCCGTGAAGACATTTCATGCCTTCAACAAAAACCTCGGAATTTAAAGAATCTTGAATTCGCATGCTGAATGCAATTGGGTGAACAAATCGCGCACCAATTCATGAAAAATCAAGGAAATACTGCATAATAAATCACTATCAAATTCAAAAGTCAAGCAGAAAAGTTCTAAGCGTGATCTGAAATAAAACGGCGAATTTTAAGCGCGAATTAAAGGAAGCATCTGAAAACGTAAATATACAACCAGCAATACAGTATTTCATTGCAAATAGATCCCGCGTGAATAAGTTGTTCTGATGAAAATCGGCTCTTAATAGTCCCCTCCGTACAATAGTGTCTGGCTGACTTACTCATAGGCGCCGAAGATTCATAAACGAAGTTTCCTTTTCAGTAACTGAGTGAAGATTATAAGGTAAACCTCAGGTTAGATTGCACAATACACTTCCGATGAAATTCACTGCCGCGACGAAATTTTAAGGCTCTGTCACGAATAGTTTCTAAAGCTCACCAGTAACTTTAAGCTTGAAAATCACTTGACTAGCGGTTACGGTTGCACCGTCATCAACCAATCGTTCCAAGATGACACCGGCAGCAGGGGCGGGAACAGGTACGGCTGTTTTGTCCGTTTCGATTTCTGCAACAACTTCGTCTTCCGCCACGTGATCACCGACATCTGTAGAATAATTCAGTCATTTATCAACACGAACACACGAGAAACGCCGCAACGTGAACTTGCTTTTCTCCCATCTGATGTCTCCTTCGGAAATGGAGTCCGCAAACGCGGGAACCTTGACACTGCGAATATCGTCTCCTGAACCGAACCGGAAAAAAAATATGACACAAAAGCTTCGAAAGACAAGATGACGGACATACTTAATATAGTTGACGAGTGGAAAGACCTTGCAAGGTTTGGCAGGACGCTAGCGAAAGGCCTATTGCATCCAGATAATGAAACTTTACTCCGCGTTCTCCGCGAATCTCGTACAGACGGACTAACGGATGAGGAAAGTCGTAAAGGTCTGCTTTCATGATATCCCTTTCTTTGAGCACCGATCTGTGAACGAACAGTATTTAAGTTATGCAAATTCTTCTTGAGAATCCAGTTGTTCCTCACCTTTACATCATGATGTGACAATTGGCCGCGAGAAGAGAAGATAATTCCAGCACTAGAAATACGATGACGTTGGGCTCCACCAACCACCAATCGTAGTTTTAACATTTCCGAATTTAGAGGTGTAAGGAGTTCAGCTGAAGAAATACGTTGAAAGACTATGAAGGTATTCGTTAGTTTAACGTCGATACTAGACTCGCGAATCACGTCGTAACCGCATCCGAACAATAGATACAAGTCTCACTGCAAGATCGAAAGGAGCTTGACAACTTATTACCCGAAGCTTGACAACTTATAAAGGACGTTTGAATTTCATAACCTCGCACAACCCGTACACAGTTTCCCGTTCTCACGGAATTCGCTAATCAGTATCCGCAAATAACGAACGCCAAAACGGTCTGACCGACTATTAATAGATTTTATGGAGCAACCGGAAAATCCAGCAACCCTGCCAGTAGAAAATTCCGTATGGCCAACAAATACGAAAGTAGAGAGAAGACTGGATTGATGCTCCGGATATGCAATTCTGAAATTCAATTCCGTAATTTAATTCCCCTCTCCGATGCGTGAAGCCCCTGAATTTATGCATTATTCGTGATTCGATAGCATGTACATCCACATGACGTTGGGGTTGGGTTAGCTGAGCAAACCCCCTCCTCAGGGTGAACTCCTGTTCATCAGCTGTGTCTGCGGTGATCGCGATTGTAAGTGAAACTCGTGACCGTACTGTTCAGTGCGTCTAAGTGCTGTACAGTATTGGGGTACAGTTTTGTGTAATCAATACTTGAGCTTCTGTTCCATGCGTTAGGGAATAAGATGCTCGAAGAAACCGTACGACTGCCTTACTCTATTATCATTGAGGTGGTACTTTTAAGCATTTGTGAGGATTCGTAGTAGAGTAAACGCATCGCAGTGATCTTGCGGAGTTTTTCAGTGCTTCTTTACTCCGTCGTTCACAGATATGTGGAAGGGCATTCGTGGAAATAAAGTCGGAATCATGAATTTGCGTGTGATCACTTTTGCAATCTTTGTGGTGCTTTTGTTCGCGAGTGAGCCAGCATCAGCTAAGCTTCATCGGTAATTCATGCTTGATTTTATGTCGACTAAGCGAGAATGGTGTCTTGATACATATCCATGCATTTTAGTGTTCCGTTGCACAAGATGGAAACTGCTCGAAACCTGTATCGCGAAGCTGGAACTACGCTCCAGATGCTGCGTCGTCGATATTCTTCAGCGAAAGTGGCCGGACCTACACCTGAACCACTCTCTAATTATCTTGACGTATGATTTTTATAATTTTTCACTTTACAAGGATTAAGTCTGACTCATATGTTTCGAACAGGCCCAATATTATGGACCCATTTCAATTGGAAATCCTCCGCAAACTTTCAAAGTGATCTTTGATACAGGATCCTCTAATTTGTGGGTTCCGTCGAAGAAGTGTCACTTGACTGATATTGCGTGCTGTACGTATTGCCGTCGGTTCTCGAATTTATGGATATCCTTGGGTATTAATATATCTGGAACAATTTCAGTGTTGCACCATAAGTACGATAGTGCGAAATCCAAATCTTACGAAAAGAACGGAACCGATTTCAAGATTCAGTATGGCTCTGGGAGTTTGACAGGATTTCTGTCTACTGACACCGTTTATGTAAGTGTATAGGGTGCTTCGTTGCTTGGTGAGATCATGCCAATTCGTCGGTTTCAGATCGGAGATTTGGGTGTAAAGCATCAGACTTTTGCCGAAGCCACCAGTCAGCCAGGTTTGACGTTCGTAGCCGCAAAATTCGATGGCATACTTGGTATGGGTTACGACAGGATTTCCGTTGATGGGGTGCCACCTGTTTTTTACAACATGGTGGGTCAAGGTTTAGTGCCGGATCCGATTTTCTCATTCTACCTCAACCGGTGAGTATTTTCAAGGAGATTTTACTCCTGGGAACGGTCGCTGTGTATAATTGTGTAAAGAAAAATTTTAAACAATAGTCTGCTCTCTGACGAAAGAAACTGGAATCGAAGATGTACATCTTGAACTCGTTTCTTTAGCTGAAGTGGTTAGTGTGTTTTCCGCACTTTATTTATTATGAATTTAATACATAATCTGAATTTAAGGCGTATTTTTAGAAACGAATCCAGAGTAAAACAAGGTCGTTGTTCCTGGCTGACACTATATTCAGTGAGAATTTCTTGTTTTGACTTACATTTTCGTTAGACAGATATGTTGAGGTGATGATGTACTGTACCTGAGGTATTTTTGTAATCTCACAAATTTCTGCAATTAATTTTTTTCAGTGATCCCGCTGCAGGCGTTGGTGGCGAACTGATCCTCGGCGGCTCAGACCCGAATTACTACAAAGGAAATTTCACTTACGTCCCAGTTACTCGTCAAGCTTACTGGCAATTTCAAATGGATGGGTGAGTTCCGAACATTCTCAAATTCTGAATATTTTTTTATTGGTGTACTGTAATTTTTTTCTTCCTTTTTCAGGATGAATGTTGGTGATCTGACGCTTTGCTCTGGGGGTTGCCAAGCAATCGCTGATACTGGAACCTCTTTGATTGCCGGCCCTGCCAAGGAAATAAACTCTTTGAATTTGAAACTCGGTGCGAAGCCGATTCCTGGCGGTGAATGGTACATCGACTGCAACTCGATTCCCCACTTGCCAACCATCGACTTGATTTTTGGCGGCAGGAATTTCTCTTTGACTGGAATGGACTACGTCATGAGGGTTAGTTTTTCGTCGAATTTTCCTCTTATAAATGAACGCATTTATAACAACAAAAATTATAACTTCAGAAGTGCGTCGTTGTGTTGACCAAAATTTTATGTTACCTTTAAACTGCACCAAAGCGCTCACCGAAGAGTAAAAAACAAGTCACGAGAATAAGCCTTCATTTTAGAATATTTGTCGCTCAGCTGGGAAACGAGACTCTCCTCGTAAAAACTCGCACAACAGGAAAATCTACGTGAAAAAATTGCTGGGGAAGAACATAACTAGCATCGAGGAGTGAATTTCAAATAACGAAATTTGTCGGCCCGAAAAGACAAAAAATATACTTTGAAGTTTGAACTGTAACTTGAGAATTTTTCGAAAATCAAGAAAAAAGCACAATTATAAATCTTTTTGCTTTTCCATTTTTGAGAAATTCAGTAAGTTATGAGCAAGAGTCGTCAGAATTGCTGTACTTGAAGTTCATCCTAAGCAGCATAAAATTCAAGATTTTTCTGCTGAGGAATCCACAAATTTCACGTTTTTTTTTTATTTCTTCGTGAATGGCTGGAAGCAGTTGAATAAATTACAATGTAATCTTGAGGGAAACTCGTTTCATATAACAAAAATGTGGCAGAACTAATCTCATCTAGAAATGGATTAGTTTTGTTATGCTGGGACCCACTGTATTTTTTTGTACTAAACCTTCGCGCAATTCTTGGAATATTTCACCGTGGTTTTGAATTGTATATCCTTGCTGGAGCGGCACACTTTCAATTCTGAACAACGATCATGAAAGGATAAAATATTACAAATTACATCAATTCAGCAAGACTATAGAATCAAAAGGTCAAGAAAACTTATGACCCAACCTCGGATGTGTAAGGCTAAAAATACCTGCAAAAGATAGCATACGGTAAATTCTAGTGCGACAGGAACGTCAATTTAGTTGAATTTCTGCGCAATTTTAGTTTTAGCTAGAGACCAGGGAGCTGAACGGGGCGAAAATAAAAATAACCTCAAACGCACGCATTTCCCGGCTCACGCACATGCCATCATGGCCAGTACTTGACATGCCTGCTAATTCTGTGAAAAGTTTCTGAAAAATCTTCTCTCGCGAAATTTAATCTTTCATGCGCTGAAAAGGAAAAATAAAATATAAGAAGATGACAAAACCAGTAACCCGATTTTCTCGTCGCAGCCTTCGTTTCTTCAGTTGGGTGTACGTCGTTAATCCGAGTTGAAGTCATGGTATTCAGGAAGTGGTTCGCTAAAATTGTCGTTTACAGTGGGTCCCCATGTAACGGAACATGTGAAGCGCGTTTTCCTTTGAGATCAGATTTTAATTGGTTTCGGCTAATCATCAAAGGACCATAATTAACCGGGAAATTCGTGCATTCTTCAGCAGAAAACTGAATTTTTATTGCATAGCTTTGGATAAAATTGAAGTAATCCTTATCCTAGAAACTCTCGCGAATTACTCGTTGAATCTATCATATCTTGGAGACGGGAAGGTGTGAAAACGACTTTTCTTGACATCCGAAACATTTTTGAGTTCAAGCTCAAAACTTAATGAAATTTTCGCATGTTGCGGGCCAATTTATTTAATTTTTTATTTATTTGAAATTGTCTTGGAATCTACGCCATGTTCCCCCTGCCCTAAAAATGTTCGTTGTGCGGATTTTTCTTTTTGTGGGTCATTCGTTATGAGGGACTCGATGTATCGGGAATTTAGAAGAGGTGCAATTCGGAAAAATTCCTGATCAGAAGCTCTTAACTCAGAAAAAGTGAAGAATTCTAGTACAGTATATTTTTCCAGAAAAAGTCTTGACACGTAGTTGATCGAGAAATGGCTTATAGTTTGCCAGTTCTTGAGTAGCGTACTCTCGTTTTTGTTGAATTTTCATGAGGTACTGTATTTAATGTCATTTGTTTTTATTCAAGATAACCCAAATGGGAAAAACGATCTGCTTGTCTGGTTTCATGGGACTGGATATCCCACCGCCATTGGGACCGATTTGGATCCTAGGTGACGTCTTCATTGGAAGATACTACACTGAGTTTGACCTCGGAAACAACCGTGTAGGATTCACCGAGGTCGCCTAAGAAGTATTGCGACGACACTAATGTCTACAGCTTCCCCCCCCCTTCGCTTGCTTGTGATTTTCTGCGATTCAAAGGAAAAAAAATTATTTTGCGTGTGCTTCGAGCAAAGGTAACAACTCAACCTATTGTATTTTTTGTTGTTGAGAAAAGTGCAATCCCTCGTGTTTCTTTGTGATGAGCTGTGGACAACGAATACAACAGTCCTGGGTGGAGGGTGAATCTTCTGCAGCATAATGCTCGTGTACATTTATGCTTTAAATTTATAATTTTATTTCCTGCAGAGCAATTATGCAAGGTACTGTGAGAAGTGAGTCGCACAAATGCAATCGACTCGGTGTTAGTAAAAAAGATAAGGTTGCTAGTCCAGTGAGGAACTTGATCCGAACGGGTTTGAAAGAGTATCGCGCAACTATCCGGCATTACAAGTCTCAAGTGAAGCTGAATTCTGAAATATCTCAGTTTGGTGAGTCGTGTACATTTTTATTCTCGGGCTACACGACTTTTTTTTTTGTTGGGAACAAATCTTTGATAGTTGAAAAAAATTGAGTTTGTGATTTGGTTTGAATATCTTTCTATCATTTGGGATACATTTAAACCACCTGCTCTAAATGCATAGAATAGGTCGTATGGACAATTTTTTACTTGTTTTATTTCCGAGGCTACCGTAACATTTTTGCGCGTTAAATTTCACTTCAGATTATCTAGAGCAAGTATTATTTTAGTCTATCTTTGCAAATAGAATTGAAATATCTTGAATAAATATTGTGTGATTTAAAAATCGTTGCAATTTTTGGTCCGTAACGTACGAAATCAATTTTCTGATGATGCGTCTTGAATTTTCAAGTAGACTTTTCTCAAGTTTTGTAATTCTGAATAATTGAGATGAATCATGAAATGAATTTTCCATGTCCTGAAATGTATACTGTAGTTAGTAATGCAGCATCCTTTATTTGAAAACAGATGATGAATTGATAAACGAAGAATCGCAGCTGCGGAGATCGTTTTCGGATGCGGACATCAAAGGACCTTCTTCGAATCAAGACCTCCAACTGCATCTGAAAGTTCATTCGCTCGTTCGAGATTCCCTGGAACGCGAAAATGCGTCTCTCTTCAAGGCGAACATCAACTTGTCGGGAGAGATTGAAAAGCACCGAGGCATTTGCGAAGACTTGCGTTTCAAACTCGAACTCGCCAAAGTGAGTGGAACGACATTCACGTTTTTGTTTTAACGAAGCAAAAAGGCGCCAGGCAGAAAACTTGGAAGTTTGCCCGTATCCGTATACTGTTCGTATGAATGAAAGAAAAGCGTGTCGAAGTGATGATTTTTTTTGCTCATTTTTCTCGGGGTGGTTCAACTTGAAACAATACAGACTGCTCATGCTTCCTCTGTCAGTTGCGCAAAAAATGAAAAATTCCGAAAGGTGAAGAAACGCATTTTTTTTTTCAGCTGTAAAAATGGAAAGTTTTGTTTCGCTTCTTGAAGATGCGAGGAAAATATAAAATTTAACAGGACGTGAACTCGGAAGAAGCAACGTGTCTTGAGTTGAGAATTGTACTAAATACTGTACTAGAAGTACTGTTCCGACGACGTTGGAGTTCAAGCTCAAACTGGAAAAATCGAATTTCGAAGTCTTGTGTTGCTAGGTGAAAAGTACTTGTTTCATGCATCCCTCAGCTTTTCTTAATTTTTGCGATTTTCTGCAGAAGAAGAAATAAATTAAATCTGGGACCCATTTTCATGCCGTAAAATCTGCTCTTCAAAGGGGGCTGTCAACCAAGGTATCTGTTGGGGACAATGGGTACTCAACAAAATGGGCGTTGCCGTGGAAAATCAGTATAAATGATCACGCAGGATAATCAGCCGTTTTCACCTGGGTATATGTAATTATGGGAGCACTTAAATGAAGTATCCCTAGTTTTCTCTGGTTTTTTTATGAAACATCAAGAATCATAGTCCACACAATACAATAAAAATAATACATCATGATAAATCCGAGCAAAATGCATCAAATATTGTATTTTCTCAAGTACCACGCTCATATTTCTTCTCAAATTCGACAGGAGAAAACGGGGTGCTATCATATGCTTGTAAACAATTTTCAAAATCTTGGTGTGCATCATACCTGCTTCTAAGTGGAAATTTTGACCAAGTTTAACAGAAAAAATTATAATAATGGAAGAAATTGAAAAACGGTCAAATTGACATCAATTCATGTCTTCCATATTTTCCACCAATTCAAATTCGGGTGCTCTAATATTTGAAATATTGTGTTTTTAGCGTCAATAAAAATGGGATCCGTGTCTCACTTGGGAATAGGATTTTGATGCATTTTTCAGACTGACCCTGGTGCGCGTCTTACTTTAGTAATTATTTTAGATGCAAGGACAAATTTGTGCACAGAAATGCAATAATGAATATCGATTGAGTAGAATTAAAAGGATCGATTGTTGTTACCACTACTTGTCTTTGAGATTTTGTGTGGAACCGAGTGGCCGATATTTGATAAATTTTTACTTACTGATGATTATTTTTTTAATTTGCTTTCAGAATGGCGGAGACGTCCTTCAGATTGAAAATCGGAGCTGTAGTCCAGCAGAACGCAACCGATTCTGCCCCATCTACGAAGACACTCCTCTGGACCTCATGGACAAGATTGCGTGGTGGACAGAGAAGGAGGACGACGCCACGACGAAACGCGACAGTGGGTGTCAGATGTCGGAACGCAGCGTTGCTACTTTTGCGTTTGGCAGGAAGTTGTCCGACGTTGAGCCGGCTGTTGTCAGGGACTGTGCCACTGGCACAGACACGCTGTTGGACGAGAGTTTTGTTAGACAAGTTGCGAGTCAGGTTGTGGAGCAGATGAAGAGGGACATGGCCGTGATTGAAGTCACTCCGGAAAGGAGCACTGGAGAGGTGGAGAAGAAGGTGTTGGTGACTGGTGCTCCGAGTAAACGAAACTCGTGAGTTGTTGCGTTGAATTTTTATCTGGAGTACGTACAGTACTGGGGGAGAGAGTTTCTCCAATTGGTGAGGAAAGTTGTGTGGAATTGGGGACTGAGAAACAGAAGTGGGGTCTTGGCTAATGAATTTCCTTCCTCCAAAGGAGTGTTTTTTTTAGATGAATCACGGTTTTTCTTTCGTATGTATAGGAAGGATTTTAATCCATTTCAGAACTTAAAAAGCGCCTTTCAGAATCAAAAATTCTAAATAAAAATTAGATTGACATCCAAGAGAGTTCTGTAGAAAATGCGGGTGTATTTACTCTATCTCTCATTTGCTGCAGAGAACCTCCATATTATTTGTTGAGTATAGCCAGTGTTCCCCACCTTCTTGGGCCCACAGACATGCAACAATTTCCCACAAAATTCTGCAGACTGGCAAAGTTTCATAAATTTGTTGCACACTCAAAAAAGTTTTGTTTGAAAGACTAAATGAATTGAAAATTTTTTGTTTTTTTCAAAAATTTAGTTAAAAACCAATGAAACAGCTATAGTGGAATGTCTTTGAAAATTAGAAAGGTTGCCTTGAAGAAAGGTATTTCAAAATGAAAAATGTAAATAATTTATTTCAGTTGGTGAAAATTTGTCTTGAGTTTTTTGAGGAGAAGAGCCAACTTTTATTTTTCATAAATTAATTACAGCTGCCATGGTCTTGACAGCATTTCAGATCAACATATCAGCCTTCATTGCTACTTTTGATAAATTGTTATGCTGAGAAATCCCTGCGTTCTTTCACTCAGAAAATTGTCAACCACATTGTTGTTGAGGGATTCCACAGATATGCCATATTTACTCAAGTACCGCGCGCCCTCAAGATGCACACCTGATTGGCTCATCCTGAATCTGAATAAAAAGTTTAAGAACAAATCCCCAAGTAGGATACGCAACCAATTCCTAGTGACAGAAAGGTTTCTTCAACACACAGCCGATTTTTAAAGACAAGTTTCTTCAATTTCTGTTTGCGAAAATGGTAGTCAATAGTGCTAGTGATTCAGGCGACATCTGTTGGACACTACAGAAAGGTAGTTCGGGTGTGGGGGATTATGTTTAGTTACGTTGATAAATGGTATGATCCACTGAATTTAATGTTGATCGATCTTTCTGATGCAGCGTTTCACAGAGAAAAATTCTTTAAACAATTGTAGTTTCTTGATGCCATTTTCAATTATCGGACGTTCTTTTGCAGGATTGAAAAATGTCCGACGGTTCCGTGCTCGGATTCGCCCCGTAAACGCTTGTCGTTCACCTCGTCAACCGATTTGCAGCTGAAAGCTTACGTTCAAAACTGCAACAGAATCGCATCGGAGCTCAACAAGGAATCTCGGCAACTTCTCGCCGAATTGAAACGGAAGCGCAAAACGCAATGAGCATTTTTGTTTGACCAAATTTGCTGTACCTGATCTCTTTGGATCACGCGAGAGAATCCGGTGTAACATTCTAACGTCTCTCTGAAAATCGAACTAGTTTTCCAAGCGAATCGCACAAGTGAATTTCGGATAGCTCACGAATTTTAATTTGAAAGAGAAAAGCCCAGTCCTGTGATATCTAAAAGAACGTTTTGAAATGATTCCACCATAATGCGTACTTCTGAGCACAACCACGCGATTCAAGTTTGATTTTTAAAGCTCTCAATGGCGGATTTTGTTCAAATATGTTGAACCGATGATCCGAGGCTGTTGGGATGTTTTTCCCATTATTGTGTAACTACCTGTACTCAGAAAAAAGAATAATATCGACGATTACTTTAAATTTCAGTATTTCATGAGGGATGGTTCAGATTTTCGTAATTATAGTGAGATTAAGCTCCTAAGTTTAACAACGTGAACTGGGAACAACGTAAAATGTAGCAACCTTATTCTGACCGCGGTTTGTTTGCAAAAAGAATTTTCTCATATGAGTTAAAGCGATTTGTTGCTACTGACAATCTTTGGCAACCTCTACATTACGCATTGCGAGTATCAAAAGAAAAGTCACATTGAAGCATAGTTTTTACATCCGCGACAATTTCACTTGGATTTTTAAATAATTTCAATTGGTGAGTAGAACCTAGAACTTGCCAGCATTGTGAGAAGGTACATTTCATGTTCTTTGTTGTGGAATGCATCTTTCAACTTTTTTTTTTTTTAATTCAGCTTGTTTGAGCTAAAATTGAAAAACTGGCCTGGGAAGGATGAAATATTAATTTTAAAAATTCATAGTATCCAGAAATGACAAAAACCCGCAGGGAGTGAACCTACGCTCTTATTCTCCTGAATTATTCAATAGAATATTTGTAATATTCAAGAACATAAATAATCAGTGGTTGAATTGAATTCGCGGTACTGTAATTGCAGTTCACTATTTTGTGTCGTAATCCTGAGGACAGGTTTTACATGTGGCCCAAGGTCTCTGTCTTCCAAGTCAACGTTTTTAGGTTTCTTTTCTCTACGGATCTCGGTACTCAAGATCTCGCCACTTGATGACGTGTTCATTTTTTTTCGGTAACTTGCGTTTTAAGATTGAACCAGTTTCGGTTGTGGTGTAAGTTTGGCGGATTTGAGAGTCTTATGTTCGTTGCGATCCGGGTCAACGCGTCTGAGCTCTGTGTCGAAAGACAAAGAGCATCGTGGTTGTAAGTAAGAGTTGATGAAATGAGAGAAATGTGGCTCAGATGTCGATGAATCTTAGAGTTGTATCGGGTTCTTTATCTTGGATAAGTTTGGGGAGTTCGAAACTCATTCCCGTTTTCATGCCATTTTGTTTTCCTTCCAATTGCATTCTGCGAGATTCGCATAGATTATGTTGAGAATGGCAGAAAATCTGCCATATGTCGCTGCATTTTAAGAAAGAGCTGGGAATTCGGTGTGATTGGCGGCGTTGAAAAAAATTTCATATTTTTTTCCCGTGTGCCGCGCAGAAAAAAAGCGATGCTAGTCATGCACTGGGTGTTCAATCATCCTGGGGATTAATGAGGTCCCTGAGGTATTTGCAGCTTGCCAATTTTTCAATGCAGAATTTAGCTTGGAGAGACCAGCGAAATATCGTGAATAACCCTCCCATTCAAACCGTGTGGAATTTTACAAATGCTAGAATTAAATTTTTTTTTCTTGTGTTCGAAGTGTATTTCATCAACCGTCAGTCATTTGAAATTGACATTCCGAGGACTGATTTTTGCGAATAAATTTAGGCGAGATAAAGTTTCGTTCAAGTGCGAGGAAGAGTTTTGCTCCCTAAGGTTTGAACATCGACGATGCATCAAGAATACTGACTTTAGTTCACTTGTAATTTTTAGAATCCCTCGATAATTTGCCCATCTTCGAAATTTTATGTATGGTTTTTATCTGTATAGTGATATTGTCGATTGATTTTCTGGTCAGGTATTTTTGATTATTGGCAAGCTGAGAATAACCACAGGTACGCTGAAGGAAATTCGGAAAAAACGAGGTATTAACGCGTGATGTTTTTTTTTTTGCGTTTCGATTTTTGTGCTGACCCATACAGAGGCATTATATATTGTGTGAGGATTGTAGTGAACCGCGGAAGAAGAAGAAAACAACAAACTTGGACTTGAACACGTACGAAGTCTCGCTATTATATTTTTTCAGCAGTTATCTGGATCTTTTGATGAATTTTTCTCGAGCTGAGACAGCATTTTTAATTGCCTGGATTCCCGTTGTAATGGTGGATTATGATGCCTATGGAGCGTTTCTCGGCCGCGGTGTGTTTCGGTTCGTTGTTCTTTTCCCCCTTGCGGGACATTTTGGGATTGCGGCGCGTTCATGGCTTCTTGGGCCGAGGGGGGGTCGTGAACCCGTGTGCGGAAAATGAGGGCGATTCGGGTTCCGGTTCGGTGCGGACATATTTTGGCCGTGTTTGATGACTATTATGGAGTGTGCACTTTTTTGTGACCATCATCCTGGTCAGGGTTGTTGATTTTGACCCAATAATCGCAAGCAAAATTGCCGTTAAGCAAAAATTTCTAACATGTAGCAGTTTTGATATGGAAGTCAGAAAAATAATAGCGATGAATTTGTGATTGTGATCAACAACCCTGATCATGATTACATGATAAATGTAAGAAGTTCACATGCGGACATATTTTGGCCATGGTTGATGACTATTATGGAATGTGTGCACCTTTTTGTAACCATCATTGTGACCAGGGTTGTTAATTTTGGTGCAATATGAAGCCCAATATTTGCAAGCAAAATAGCCGTAGGATAATACTTTTTGACATGTAGCAGTGATTACAATTTTGATAGTGGGAGAAAGTTGTCAGACAAATAATAGCATAGAATTTTTGATAGTGATCAACAACCCTGATCATGATTACATAACACATGTTAGAAGTTCACATGCAGACATATTTTGGCCATGTTTGATGACTACAGTATTATGGGGTGTGTAAACCTTTTTGTAACCATCATTGTGACCAGGGTGGTTAATTTTTTGCTGAAATTGAAGCCCAATATGAATGCAAGCAAAATTGCCATAGGGCAAGAATTTTTAACATGTAGCAGTGATAACAATTTTGATTGAGGGAGAAAGTTTTCAGACAAGTTATGGAGATGCATTTTTTTATTGTGATTTAACAACCCTGATCATGATAACCTGACAGTTGGTTTCATAAGACTGCTGAACAGCTCTAAGATAAGACACCTGATGTGTCTGAAGACCATGCTGATCATGCCAGTCACTTTGCCCACAAAACTTATGGATGAGTAATATGATTGAAGATTCAGCTAGGATATTGATTATAGAGGCTGAATACTTTGTACAGAGGACATCTTTGCCTCTGTTCGACAAATTTTCTTGTAATACAGGTGGTACCTTGCAATTTGACCATCCCAAAATTTGCAGGGAGGTTGACTGGCAATTCAACCCATGCCCCTCATTTCAACCTGGTTTGGCCAGTTTTTGCATTTTCGTACTTGAATATTTAAATTTCACAGGTCTGGCAATATCACCCTTGTTTCGCAACAGATCAGGGTTTAATTATTGTGAGGTACCACCCTTACACTTCATTCAGGAAATCATCACATGTGATCCCCTGGTATATCTGATGTACACTGGATGGTATGTGAAGATGCATTTCCAACCAGATCTGCGAAGTGTTGCATGTTTTCTTACCTGGATGATATATCCACTGAAGAATTTTAATTGGGATCTGGAAACATTGTTATTTTTGAGGGCAGGGTGTAAAACTGCATGAGCGGGGAAGAATTACATGCCGTGAGCAGATATGTCACTGCTACTGTGACTGCTCCGTGGCCCCGAACGACGCGCGTTTTTCCCGTTGTGTGTCGCACTTGGGCGACGCGGCGTGAACTACAACCGGGGAAAATTGCCGAGCTTAAAAGAATAGCCACTCTACTGTATATGAACATGTGCGGATGATGCAGGTTGAGAAGGAGATCATGGACATTGTTCAGCAATTATATATATGCTGAATGAAGAAGCTATGTGAGTTTGATAATACCCAAATGTGTGCATGGCATTATCTTGGGAAGTCAAACTTCATTGCTCCGAATGTTCTTATTGAGTTGAAAAAGATATTCACTGAATCAAATTCAATTGGCAAAGACATTTTTTTCACAGAATTTTGAAGAATATTTCTTCCATAAAGCACCAACTAAAAATTGTATAATGTAAGTCTATGTGGAAACAAGATGACTTGGGGATACCAATCTTGATGCACCAATTATGTCTGCATCATCTGCAGGGATCTCATTGTATATATGTGATTTAACTGGGCCACCAGTGAACCCCTTTATATCCTAGTTCATATTGCCCCATAAACTCATTTTAAATGCAATTTAAGGCCCAAAATATCACAATTTACAATAATTTAGTGAAATTCTTCAATGTTTCCCAAGTCAAGCATTTATGTATATACAGTAACTCAAAACCTCCCTACGTTTAATTTTTTGCTGGTCCATTGAAATTCACTTGGATGAGAGGTTCAAGGTTACTGCATAAAATCTTATGGGCATGTTTGGTTGATGGGGTTGGAAGAATTAATAATGTTTTGTAAAATTTATTCTTCCAGCCATGCATGGCCTGTTTGAGAGAATATAAGTTTGATGTAAAGGATACAGGTGGTATGTATAACTTGAAATTCAACCACCCTGCAATTTTTCCATACTGCAATTCAAAAGTCAAATTTGCTGGGAGGTTGACTCAAAATTTGAGCTCTGCCCCAAAATTTGACCCAAATAGAGAAGTAAAATGCCAAATAACAATGTAGAAAACATCTTTCATCTAATAGGATGAAAATTAAAATACTGTGATTTGTTTCAGCAGGACTTTTTTATTTGCAAAAAAGCAGAAATGTTTCAATAAGTTCCTGCCATAAAGTCCTCTGACCAAAACCTTTTTCAAGACTGTAAAAATTGTATGAACCTTTGCCAGCAGTCTGCAGAATTTTTTTTGGGGAAAATTGCTGGTTGGCAGAAAATTTTGTGGAAATTTGCTGGTCCAAGGCCGAAAAAGGTAGTTGAGGAACACTGATAACATGGATGAATTAAGACAAGAAGACAAAGATATGAAAGGTTTCCAAAGATCTGAATGTTTGATTCCAATAATTTTTCTGGAAGTTAATGTGCTGTGTTTTATATTCAAGCTGGTACTGTACTGATGTAAAACACGTTTCTCCGCCACAGTTGGTCTACACTACATGCAGCAGGGTTCCCCAACATTCTTGGGGCCAGCGGTTGTGCGACAGAGGTCGCCTCTTGGCACCGTTAGGAAAACAGTTCGGTGCAGAATCCTCGCTGCTTTTTCTTCTAAAGCAGCATCAGCACACGACACGAAGTGCAGCAATCTGCGTATAGAAAATTTCATCAATTCTTTGCAACCAGGCGACCTTGTAATATGTTGACCAGTCCAGCTCTGGAACCGGTCACCACAAAAAAAGGCGGGATGATTAAGAAGCTTGTCTTATTTTCTTGTCTTGCAGTGTCCAGTGTCGGAAGAATGAGAAAAGTGCTGTCCAATTTTCGTGAGAATGAGAATATTCGTTATCGCGATTTTTTTTTTATCCCAAAGGTTCTGTGCTTTAGTAATCCACGGCATCACATTCGATTATATACAGGATATTCTGATGTATGGTCCCATATAGTATATACACTGCAAATTTCACAACAAATGTTGTTGTAACGGATTTTTTTCGTCATCCAAGCAGTTTCTGCATAGGTGTAATGTTATAAAAATATCATTTTAACAAACTCATGGTAGACCGTAATCTCATAAAACCTCATAATTTTGCCCCTAATTCTGTGCATAGGCCATTTTAAGGATTATTTGATAATTGTCAGAAAAATGAGGGAAAAAATGTAAATGTTCAGCATTCCAACAGCATCAAAGAAGCAAAACATCCTAAATGCAGAGAAAAATTGGTGTTCAAGAAAATTACACACCTTGATATATTTCTTGGAAATTCTTTGGCTCCATTTTAGATTGCAAGCCTTTCTTTCCAAGAAAAAGTATGTTAGAAATGTTAGTCTATTTGAAAGATAGCTGATGGCTGTATGAAGTTATTAATTTGATTCAGAAAGAAGTACATGTATTTATGCTGCATGTTATTTTGTTTCATTGTATTTTTTGAGAGAAACAACACTTTAATACAAAGGCAGGTTCAATGAAAGTATTGTGCTATTTACTTCAAAAATTGTATCTTCATTTCATAAAAAAATACTTATTAACCCGCTTATTAGGCAGCGGTGAAAGGATTTACTTGCAATTTTTTTTGCCTCAGGGCATAAAAAAGCAGGGATGACCAGGAGAGACAAAGTCAAGAAAATTCCATTTTTTTTTTGCTGGCAGAAACGTTTTCTTAAACTATGGCTGCTGTGTGGAAGTTTTTCACATTCCTTCCATAGGATCAGCATTGAGAGATTTTAGACACAATGAATTTACCTTCCTTGGATTATTTTCTGGACTTTGGCTATTCAGTCAATAAATCTTTGTTTTGGTGACCTTTGGTCAAACCAAAAAGCACAAGAGTGCAAAAATTTCTGAGCACTTGCTACAGGATGGAATTTAACCATTTAACCCACTGCCATCCAAGGGTAATAATTATGATTTGTTGTGAATTATCTGTTTTGGAAGCACTTAACAGTACTGGGTTCTCACAAAATTCCAATTGTAAGTTACAAACCCTGGATCTCAATAATTCAACAGATTTTTAATTATAATGGTTTTCATCAGGTTCCTGCTGAGAGTTTGTTGTAATGAGATTCTTTGGCACAATATACAGTGAGACCCCCAGATGCGGACATAATTGGTGCATCCAGAGTGTCCTTAAGTCAAAATGTCCCTAAGTTGAGTCTCATTTTCCTGTAGACTTACATTATATACATTTTAATTGGTATTTTATGCACAAAATACTCACCATAATTCCATGAAAACAAAAATTGTCTCCCAATTTAAGCTGATTCCAATCAATATATTTCAACACAATATGGACATTTGGGGAATTGAATACTGATACCTCTGTATGGTACATATATAAATGTTGGCATTCTCTGTAAAAATAACATTCACGTAAAAAAGGGAGAAGGAAGTCCCTCTATGCTTGAGGTAATTTTTTTTAATGAGCTAAATGGATGGTGGATTGGTGAGAGAAATGCCAAAGAACTTTTCTTACATCAATTTTAAGGCTGGAAATATCTGCTGTTTCTCGTAATTTGGCCTGAAATGTATTTGCAGTTTTGTCACAAAATTTCCCTATGCGGAGTCAGCAGTGTCCTCATGTCAGGCCTATTTTATTAATTTTTTATTATAAAATAAGTGTCCCTATGTCAAATTGTCCGCAGGTGGGGGTCTGACTGTATATGCATTTCAAAAGGTACTCCATATACGATTTCATTCATTCCTTTTTTTTGTTTGGCGTGATTTTTTGCCAGTTATCATCATCAGCAACTATATTTCCATTCCCCTGATTGGCGTTGCACTTGAGCAAATTGGCGTGGACACTATGATACGGGGGTTATGCGCAGTGCGTGGATTTATTTCGTGGCTTGGGTGAGAAATCGAGTTTTTCGCGGACACATGACCTCGCGTGTGCCGTGTTAACTGGGGCGACGTGCCAAGCTTGGCTTCACACCCACCAATATGACCAGCAACCCCCCCCCGACGAAGAAAGGACGGGATCTACTCACTTTTTATTTATTTTTTACTTTTTTTTAGACGATACACTCGGTACGTATGGTTGTTTCTCATCATGTTGAATTCCACACTTGACTTGTGTTCAATTGGTACGTTTTTGAGAATGATGATGATGATGATGTGGCTGCATGTTATTGGCGGGTTACGTATATATACGAGGGTTGGTTCATAAGTTTTTGAAAGTTTATGAGATATAGACCCCAACAGAGGTTCAAACAATTTCAAATTTTTTTTGGTTTTTAAATTCACATGTCGCCCCTTGATTTGGAAACTCTTGAGTGCTGTGTTCTGTGCAGCAGTCTCTGCTGATTTTAAAATTGTTAAACATTTATCTGCTGTTGGATCTATTTCCTAAATTTGCAAAACTTCATGAATCATCCCTGGTACATACCAGTTCATGCTGATGGGGTTCCAATAATGCAGGAATGGAACTATTGGCATTTTTTGGAGAGCATATATTTTCTGATGAAAGACAACTTAACTAAAGTTGAACCTCAATTGAGACCCCCACACGTGGACGCCTCAACCTGCAGACAATTCAACATAGGGACACT